AACATTTCTCTTAAGTTCTTTATGGTTTGCTGACTATATTAGATTACGGTATTAACCTGATAGTTACTTGTGTCCATTTATTAAAATTTTATAAAAGCAATTGTAGGACTAGAAAGGCAGAAAAGTTTTGCAGCTTTTTTTTTTAAATCACAGCAGAATTAAAGTAATTTTTAGAGAAGATGGAATGTACTGGTCACAGCTCCAATATTATTAATTTAGGAGTTTCTTTAAGTAGTACTACCTCACAAGAAACTCCATTTTCAATTAAATAAATCACAAGTTACAGTAAGAAAAGAAGCCTCCAATTTTTTCACTGTAGTTTGTCAGCTCGGAAAGAAAATGATACAAGGACTGTAAATGTTTTCATGATCTTCTTCAAGGACTTGACCCAATCTGTCAGTGTATCACAATTATTCACTTCCCTGAGTACAACTAATGTTTATTTTGTGTTTTCTTTAATGGAAAAAGGAACAAATTACAGTTAAATTTTTATTTTTAATAGACTGTGAAAATACTTTTACTGGAAAAATAAAAATATTTTAAACTTAAAAAAATGGAAAAAATAAATGAAGGAATAAATAACTTAGCTGGGATTGATATAATGTCAGTCATAATTATTATCAGTTTGGTAATTTATATTTTATTCCTTAAAAGTTATTTCATACCTGTGCCAAATATAATAATTTGACTGATAATATATAAAACTTAGAAAGACTCATTGACAAAAAAAGAACTCTTGCATGAATTTAAATGGTCTTATAATCAAAACCAAGAGTCTGATATTCATGGTGATATATTGTGTATCAAATACAGCTGGCCTGAGGATCAGAGGATTGAGCCAGCCACTAGATTAAACATAGAGGCCAAGCAGTGGCGCCATACACCTTTAATTCTAGCACTTTGGTGGCAGAGATCTGTCTGGATCTCTGTGAGTTCAAACCACCCTAGACTATATGAAATTAATCCAGTTTAAAAGAGAAACAGCTAGGCAGTGCTGGCACACATCTTTAACCTCAGTACTTTGGAGTCATACACCTTTAATTCCAGCACTAGGAAGGTTGAGATAGGAAGTGAAATGGTTGGGGAGAGAAAGGCATATAAGGCATGAGGAGATAGGAAATAAAAGCCCATTCTGCTGAGGACTCAGAGGCATTCAGTCAGAGGATTCGTGGAGCTGGTGGGATGAGACATGGCTGTGGCTTGTTCCTTTGTCTCTCTGATCTTTCAGCATTTATCCCAATATCCAGCTCTGGGTTTTTATTAAAACACCAATTCAGAGGGGTCAGACATATATGGAGGAGAGGTAACAAACCACATGACAGAATGTAGATTTATATAAATGGGTTAATTTAAGTTATAGGAACTAGTTGTGAACAAGTCTAAGCTAAGGCCAACTGTTCATAATTAATAAGAGGTCTCCATGTCATTATTTGGGAACTGGTGATCCAATAAAATGTCTGACTACAGATCACATTATTGCTGATTCCACAGTCTCTTTTCTGTGATCACAGCTACACAGCCTCCCAGAATTGAGTAAGTATAAGTGGTAAAATCTATTTCTTTATGTATTTGTTGCACATTGAAAGCAAACATTTTATTCTGTTATCAGAACTGCAGGGTCCCTGGAAGTGTCATAGTAGGCAGGGAAACAAACTGTGAAGAGTTTGAATGAAAGTTCAGTCCAGATTGAATTCATCAGATTAGAACAAACTTGCAGAGAGCTTGATGCCAGGAGGTTTATTGCACAACTGAATTTAGGAAAAGGTCTCCAGCCAACAATCATTCCTATTCCAGGCACACAATCAAGCTTAAAGTGTGACGATATAGGAAATCCTTTGCGAAGTACCTGTGACCATGAAGGTGTGTTCTATAGCTAAACTGAGAATCTAGTGTGGTCTTTGACAGAGATAGAATAAAATATATGTGATATCTCCCCCTAATAATGGGTTCTATTAACTGAGAGGCAAAGATAAATGTTGAGGGATGGAGAGTCTGAGTGGGTTAAACATTCTAGGGGATTTGGATGAGGTCTGCCTTGACAGATAGCAAACTGTCACCAGGTTATCAACAATATGCACTGTCAGCTTTCTGGGTAGGATGCAGCTATTTTATCTCTTCTATCGAGGTGATGCCCCTGCATGTTTAACATTCCTGCTTTTCCTGGTGATCTGTGGGCAAAAGGACATTTGTGCTCCCAACACAGAACTATGTAGAAAGCAACACTGCTCTTACTTTAGAGTGAAAGAAAGAACTCTAATAAACTATTGCTTTGATGTCTTCTAAATTAAAATGATAACATGTTTGTAGCTAGAGTTTTCCTGCCTTGCCCACAGTCAGGACAAATCTCTGTCTCCCGCCAGTCCCACAGCTGCTCAGAACCAACCAAGTAAACACAGAGACTTATATTGCTTACAGACTGTATGGCCGTACCAGGTTTCTAGCTATCTAGTTCTTACATCTTAAATTAATCCATTTTTATAAATCTATACCTTGCCACGTGGCTCGTGGCTTACCGGCGTCTTCACATGCTGCTTGTCATGGCGGTGGCTGGCAGTGTCTCCTTCCGCCTTCCTGTTCTCTCAATTTTCCTCTCTGTTAGTTCCGCCTATACTTCCTGCCTGGTCACTGGCCAACCAGTATTTTATTTATTGACCAATCAGAGCAACATATTTAACATACAGACCATCCCACAGCACATGTTTATTCATATTACCTTAATTATTGACTGTGGATAAATTTCTAAATGGTCTTAATAAATAAAAAACATGGAGCCAGAAATTTGAGTTAAAGCCTGAGAAAAAAAATCAGAGGAATAGAACAAACCATGAGCTAACCTCACCTCATCAACTCCACAGCTTCCAAAGAGAGCTTCTTCCTGTATACTCACGTTTATATGTCTTTTCTGTTCTGTTCTCTCATTGGCTCTCTTAGCCCAGCTACATAACTTCCTCTTCCTACACTGCTCTGTTACATTCTGTCTATACAGACCTCCAGACCTCTATGGTTGGTACAGGGATTAAAGCCGTATGTCACCACACTTAGCTCTGTTCCCTAGTGTGGCCTTGAACACACAGAGATCCTGCCGCTAAGTGATAGAATTAAGGGTGTGTGCTACTGCTGCCTGACTTCTTTGTTTACTTGTAATGGCTGGCCTCTTTCCTCTGATCTCCAGGCAAGCGTTATTTATTAAAGCACAAATAAAATATCACCACATTTCAGGACAAATAAAATATCACCACAATTGATAGGTATATGTAGATGTAACCAACCTTCTTATTAAATAAGAAACACAGAACCAATGCAAAGAAGAAAGCCAAGAGGTCAGAGCTAAGAGCTAAAACCTTACCCTTCCTCCTGCGGTGGTCCTACCTCTCCGAACCAGAGCTACCCCTGTGTTAAAGTCTCTACATAGAGTTCCTGTCCTGCCTTCTCATTGGTTGTTAACCCAACCACATGACCACCTCCTCACGGCCTGTCTGTATAGGCCTCCAGGTTTTCCATGATTGGTATTAAGATTAAAGGCATGTGTATCCAATAATGGCTGTATCCCTGAACACACAGAGACTTACCCAGCTCTGCCTACCAAGTGCTAGAATTACAAGCGTACGCCACCACTGCTCTGCTTTCCTATGGCTTGCTAATAGCTCTGACCCCAGGCAACTTTATTTATTAACATAAAAATAACATTTTAATACAAATAAAATATCACCATAGGTATATATAAAAGGAAATAGCATTATAGCCATCATGCTTCAAGAAAAGCATGGTGAAATATGATTAATGTATCATTTTTGATTATTTTAGTTGCTTGAAATGGGTTACAAAATTGAAATAAAATATACTAACTTTTAAACATACATACATGCTACATTAACTTTGCAATAGGTTAAAACACTGCTCCTTACAATAGTATCAACCTACCACTTTGTTTTGTGAATGACAAGTGAAGGAATTATCCTGAGTTCCATTCTCATGTGTCTAGAAAGGACAATCTTTCCTTAGAAGCCATTGTACAGGTAGAATCTAAGGTGTTACAACCTACACTACAGATGCCACAGTAGGATTAGAAAAGTCTCTCAAGCTGTGTGCCCCATGCTAGGATCCAAGTTGTCTCCTGATAGTTCATGAAATTCCATTATGAGTTGTCTATCTATTATCCATCTATCTATCTATCTATCTATCTATCTATCTATCTATCTATCTATCTATCTATCTTTCTTTCTATCTATCATCTATCTATGCATCTGTCTATCTGTCATAGATGGATCTCTTTCAACTCATTCTTTTATTTTGATTTGTTGTATACTTAATAAACTCATCCTTTCAAAACCCAATGTATACCTATCTTAGATCAATGTCTAGACCACAAAAATAAACTAGTAAAAAAAAGAAATAATTTGTCTTAGGCAAAGAGTAGTCTCACTCTGTGGAACTTTCCTGAGAACAGACCCTGCACTTTTCATTCTGTATTGAAAACACCATAGGTGTCTCCCTGTAAAGCATCTTCCAGGGGAATACTGTCATTTCCAGACTAGTGAGAATGGCACAAGTAAATAATTCTTACACAAGTAAATAATTCTTACACAATTCATCCATAAAACAAAATAAAAAGTCTGTACCAAAGACAGGTGCAGTGTCTTCATCCATAGTAGGGTTAATATTTCATGTATTTATTTTGAAAGCTTTAAATTGCTTTTGGTTCACTTGTAACCATCCCTTTACGATGAATACACCAAATTTGGGATAAATCAACAATAATTTTTTCTTGTCTTTCTCTGTATGTAGATTATGGCACCTATAATGTTTATTCCATACAAATGTTTCTATTAATTATTCTGTTGTATAAAAATTAAAATAGATTGTTCTGAATGTCACTCCATTTAATTAAAAATTATAGAAAATATTATTTCAATTTGTTTCTACTCCTAAATTACTAGTAATTTTTACTTTTAAATGTACTTTTAATATCAGATTATTTTTTTTCCATGTGAATTGGAGAAATGTCTGGATCTGAAAGCTCGTCCTTAGTGAAAACTTCAGCCATGTTTAGCTGTGTTTTCATCAAAGACACTTCGTGTTATCAGCAACAAGGTGAGCTTGACTAGTAAAGAGTATAAGTGCTAGGCTTATACTAGGTTTAGAGAACATCTGTTTAGGAGACTAGAGAGACAGATAAGAAGTGGTGCCCTGTGAGCCAGGAAAAGGCCAGAAAAAGGTAACATCTTGAAAAACAAGCCAGCTCCCTTTAGTGATGCGCATTGGTCAGACTGACAGTTCTGGAGAGGTCAGGTTCAAGGAAAGCCACATGAAGCAGAGTTTTAAAGCAGATGTCTGATTAAATCTATAACACTAGAGCAGCGGTTCTCAAACCCCATAATGCTGTGACCCTTTAATATAGTTCCTCATGGTATGATGACCCACAACCATAGAATTATTTTTGTTGTTGTTTCATAACTGTAATTTTTCTACTGTTATGAATCATAATGTAAATATCTGAAATGCAGGATATCTATATTTGACCCCCAGAAAAGGGTCATTCAACCCCAACAGGGTAATGACCCACAGGTGGAGAACCACTGCCCTAGAGGAAGACTGAGCTGAATGGTGTTTTCCTATTAAATGGAAAGCTAAAGGCCTTACTCACTTTCTAGCATTGACATAATTAAGTGGCCAGAGTCCAGGGATTAGAGTCAGTCTATGACCCCATTGTGAATCAGCAGAAAACTTGCCACAGGATCTGTCATGTGATAGCTTCTCAATGATCAAGTGTCTGTGTCCAGCAGGAAATGGGCATGTACATATTTATGGGACTTTCTGGGACATGAGCTAATGAGTTCTCTATCATCCAGTCTAAGAGCCTGGGGATCTGATGCTCCTCCAGTGTAAGATTATCTATAGGGCTTTGACTCATGTTCATCCTAAAGTGACTTTGGGGGAATTGCAGCAATTTACCTAACTCAGAATATGTAACTGGCATTCCTAGTTTTGAAACTGGTACTAATTACACATAATAACAGAACAAATGTCACTTTGTATACAAAGTGTCCAATCAAATCAAAAAGTATTATTAAAATAATTAATTGCTTGCTATCAAAGACAACATGCAAATCTGCCAAAAATCATTTATAAGCTGTTAAAAATATAGTATTGGTGTAAACTGCATATACATCGTATGTTCCATGTTCTCATGATTTGTACTCTTGATATCCTTACATCAAGTCTGTACTGTATTGACATTTTGTCTAGGATTGTGGATTTTCAGCCTTTAGCTCTAAGAAATGACCCTGGTTGTAGAAGCTTACAGACTCATATGAAACCCACAGCTGCAATCTGCAGTGTGATATGGGGTTTCATCTCTGTGGATCACTAGTCCTGATGGTCTTTTATTCTTTCATTCATTTATGGCTAAGGTATTATTTGAATCAAACCTCTAATGCTCTCGAATCTAGGAGATAGATATCACCCACAATGGGACACACTAGATCTCATGCTATCTGAAAGGGGAGGCATTCTAAACAACAAATACAAAGTACAGTGTGATGCTCTAACCTAAGATTTAGATGACAACATAAAAATCTTGTAGCATCCATAGATAATAAAGTCATGTATATTTCAGTCACTACTCAAATTTGTTGTTTTCAAATGTGTCATTGATAAATACAACAACAGTTCCTTTCATTGCAACATTATTCAGAAAATCATGTTAAAAATATATAACAAACTCTCTACTATTCCCATATGCTTTCATTGGTAATATTTTAGTGATTGCAGACAAATTCATTGTACTTTGTATAATGAGTTCTAAATTACTAGAAAGTGGAATATTTATTGTACTAGGAAAAGCTAAGTTCTTCTGATGCTCATATCATAAAATGTATTTATAAAAAGCAAATAAATTCAAAAGCAATGTGTTTAAAAAAAACCTAAAATTTTTAATCAGTTCTCAACTTCTAAAAGTTTTTCCTTAATAAGAAACTTGAAAGAAATTCTGTTCTTGACAATAAATGGAACTCTGAGGTTGGGACATTGCTGTGTTCATTCTCCATCCCCTCATTATCTTACTGAAACTTCTCTGTGCTTTTCTTCTATTTCTATTAAATCTGGTGTGAGTCAATAACTCGCATGGCAATCACATCTTAAATTTACTCAAAATAATTTTACCACTATTGAATCATATTGCATGCCTGGATTATTGTAGTGATTCTCCTTTATGAAAGGCAAGATAAGAAATCAGGGTGATATAATGCCCTATAAAACATAAGCATTCTGTCTGACTCAAAATTGAGTGTTCTTGTCTTCTTATAATAATAGAAGTTTAAATAAGAAAATTTAAATTTAAAGTACTAAATGTGTGTGGTAATAGTTAAAATGATTGATTTCCTGAGGTGAGCAAATGCTTCTTTACACTGCATAAAGATACATCATAAATAATTCCAGAAGATAACAGAGTAAGAACCTGGTGAAATATACTTGACATTGCAAATCAGAAGAAAATGCCCTTCACTTTTTATGGAAGTATGGTTTTAGTATATGCTATTCTCACACTTTCTGATGATTTTCATAAATATATCAAACACCAAAACACATATATACATCTTCATTTAATTAGCATTGCTAATATATTTTGTAAGAATATCTTTAGAAATTACTCAAATATCAGCCTTTTAGAAAAATGGCAGAAAGTATAAAAAGATACAGAATAATCAGTTTGATTTTTGCTAGAAGTAGCACAGCATCCCAGATATTGATCTTTGAATATGAAGTCTTACATCACACAATTTTGGGAGTGGAAAATATAAGGTTGGAAAATTGACCATTCAATTTTCATAGCAAGCATAATATGTTGCAGCTGAAAGTAGAGATGCAATGGTTGATAATTACTAAATAGTAAGAACAATTCTAATATTTTTCATCTATAAAGTGCATTTGATCACAGTTTCATAGCAATGTCTTGACTTCTAATAAAACAGCTCCAGGGATGGGCAAAACAGTGAATTTAATCACTGAAATACTGTATCTCCTGACCCAGTTAGGGCAGGTTACTAGTACAGTGAAGACATTAGAAAAACATCCAGAAACAAATTCCATTTCTTTTCTTTTGATGAGAATCATCCTTACTAAAATATTTTTTTTTTTGGGCAATGTGCGTGCGTGTGTGTGTGTGTGTGTGTGTGTGTGTGTGTGTGTGTGTGTGTGTGTGAGAGAGAGAGAGAGAGAGAGAGAGAGAGAGAGAGAGAGAGAGAGAGAGAGAGAGAGACAGAAAGACAGAGACAGAGACAGAGACAGAGACAGACAGACAGAGTGATATGTTCACAGCTGTGACTTTTTAATCTCCAAATAAAAAATTGAATCATATTGGGATTTTGTATGTGCATAGAAGTCTTAGGTTTCTTTCACTGCCTTTGAACAATATAAAGCAGGAAAGTACATAGTATACTGTAGAGATCTTAACAGTTTGCGTAGAACACACTGTCCCTCTAACATCTCAGAAGTCCTGTCCACAGACTGCACATCCTAGACACCATAGGCTGGAAGTTTCCAGAGCAGATGCTGGAGGAAAAGCTCATTTCTCATTTGCTTGCTTGCAAATGTAGACGTATTCCTTGTCATAGTTTCACATTTTAACCTTGTTTAGCATCTGGTTCATTTGAGTTGATCAAGTATAGATGTCATCTAATATGTGAAATTGAAAGAATGGAACAGGAAGAAAGTGTCTAAATTACTGGATGAAACCTAATTGCAGTTGATTTGAATAGTTTATCATTACCAAGGAATAATGTTTTAGAAATCATTGCATTCACGCAGAGGATTTAAAAAAATCTGCAGTTTTTCTATTAATATCTTCTTTTTTCTCCAAATTCCCAGAAAATTAAATCTTCTATAATATGGATAATAAGCACAAATAAACACACCCATGCAAACTCCCACTGTTTCCATCTGGATTCTTAAAAGTTTTAAGGAAATACAAACATGAAATTTTATTCCATATTTCCTAAAGTGATCCTCAAAGCAAGAGACATCTTCCTGCCCACCACCAGCCTTTTACATGTACTCAGACTTCTTACCCTGTGATTCTCAACAAGCGCCTCTCTCGGGCTAACAGTAATGGAAAACTCTCTTCCAATAATTAATTAAAGTTTAATTAAATAAAGTTCATATTGATGAAGCATTTTATGTATGTTCCTGAAATCTATTAGTTTTTAATTAAAATTGTGCTGCCCCACAAAAATCTCACACTAGTTACTTTGGCAACTGATTTCTTTATTATAAGAAGAAATCATCTCAATAAATTATACTGCTTTTTCAAATATAATTTTCTTTGGTGTGTATGGATTTTTATGTATCTGACTGTATGTATGTGTACTACACACATATGGGAGACCTGGAAGTTCAGGAGAGTTGTTGGACCTCAGGAACTAGGTTTACAGAGGGTTATGAGCCACAGCATGGGAACTGTGGACTAAAACCAGAAAACAGATCTTCTGAAAAAGAAATACTCTTAAGTCCCAAACCATTTCTCCAGCCCTAAGGTACAATGCAGAAGACATATTCTCATGCCCCTTTTAGACTTCATTAGTAAGAAATGATTTTGTCATTAGAGTTTCAAATGCAATGTTCTAAATTGTCTTGACTGAAGAGTAACTTAAATTGTATTTGAAGATATTGCTTGACTTCTTCTATTTGGTTAACACACTACCTATTTCTCTCTGTCTGTCAAGGAGGGCTGCCCATAGGTAATGGAAACGATCCCAAGAGAAAAACGTATGTTGCAGGAAGTAAAGGCAAGTTGAGAATGTCATGTAGCATTGGACTTACATTTCATCTGCAAGAGAAAATTAAAAGTTGTCATGTACTTTTCAAAACCCAGAGAAATGTGAGTTGGAAAGGATATAATTTACTGTTTATCAATCATCTATCAGTAAACCAGAATTCTCTTTAAAAGTAAGTGTCTCAGAGAGGAGAGGTGCACTCACCCACTACAAAGTCAGTCTTATATGCCTGTTCTATTTTGAATTTATTGTATATTATATTAATTTTCATTTAGACCATCTAGTATACTGATTACACCAAATTTAAGCATTCTCAAATAA